TAATACCAGAATACTGGTCAGAGATTTGCTTCTTAGAATGTGATGCTAAGGCCAGCAAGTAACATTGACATCCCTGGTAGTACAAAATGCACAATCTTGGGCTCTATTCCAATCCTACTGAAGCAGAATCTGAACTTTAACAAGATTCCCAGGTGATCTAGTTGTACATTAACACTTGGGCATTACGTATAGTTCTGACACGTCTCTTGCCTAATGCAGATTTTTGGGCCATAGTTGAGCTTCCAGGGAGGTCAAGTGGCTTCTAGTGTGTAGGAAAGACAGGAGGGTATGCTTTAAATTAAGTACAGCCTGAGAGTGATGTGGACAAGAAAGACAAGGAGGCAAGAAACAGCAGTAAAAATTTAAAAAGGAGAAGACAGAAAAGTAAAGAAGTCACCTGGACACAGACATCAGAATTCACCATTTTCAATGTCCTTTCACCTGAAAATTTAATGTAGAAATTTCTACACTGTGGAAATTCTTCCTGAGTTTATCTTTAAACTTCATAATTCATTTGAAAAGAATTAAGTTTTTATGATTAAAAGGTATGGTAATGGTATTTTTAAAAATTAGAAATAATTTTTAGAAATGCTGTCTAAAATTGAAAGAATATTTGAAAGTCTACAAGTTGACTTTGTCTTTACTTTTTGAGAAAGTTGGGCTGCCTCTATTAAAAATGTTTAAAAGTTTCACTTAGAACGAGTATTATTTCCTTGTCTGGACTTAAAAAAAGACACTGAGGTAGTAATTCTAGTGAATTAATAAAATACTGTATAGGAAAATAACAGACCCACAAAATTAAGGTATATTCAAACTGCTACTTTTAGAATTTTTTCTATAACACATCTGTCAGATGATCATTGAACCCAAACATTTCAAATGATGGGTAATTTCTCACTCTTTAAGTCAGCCACTCCATTGTGGGGTAGCACTCACATTTTGTAAAGATCATGTAATTGGGAATCAAAAGACATATCAAAGTCTGGGTCATGCATCTTTAATAGTTATAGACCTAATTTACTCTCACCCCCAAGGCACTTATTCCAATCTAGTGGCTCAACCTCACATCACTTTTTAAAAAGACCACTTCCAACCATAGATGCTATTGAAATAAGGCTGAGTCCACTCCTCTGGAACGTGGCATGACACCTTAGCTGCCTTTGGCACTTCCCACTGTCCCAGTTGTAACAGGAGGATACAGGTTGGGTCTCATTTCCAGATGGCAAATCATCGATGGCTTCAGATAACCCTCAAAATTAAGAATGAGAATGGACCCACAGGAAAGGACCGGTCAAGATTCAGGAAGGAAAAGAGGAACTGGCTGGCTAATGACAGAATTTAATGCCAGGAATTGAGGATGCATGTGAGAGAGAGCTGAAATAAATAGGAGATGCTGGAGCAATACAGAGGTAATATTCACAGGAAGCAAACATGTGACCCCCAACACTGGAGGGGCAAAGGGAAGATAATCTAGAAGCTCCTAGGAAGAAACCACTGAGCAGGGACCCAGACCTCTGAGAACACTGCCTGGCTGCTTTCAGTTTCTCTGAGGGTGTCCCCTGAATGTGGTCTGTGAGCTACAGCCAAATGGCAAAGCTCTGGTTCAGACTCTTTCTCCCCCAAGTCTGGCCTGCCCGTGGGCCTCCACACTGGCTGAGCACAACAGGCCCAGGTAAAGAAGCATGCGGTCTACAGAGCCCCAGCCCAGGGTCCCAGAGTGAGCCATGGCTTTGGAGCCAAGACACTATTTTACTGACTGACCCAAAGGGCATTTGGTCCCCCTCCCCCTCATATGCATAACTGAGACTCGAGATCTGGAGTATGTGAGAGAGTTGTCTAGAGCCCCCCGTGCCAGTGGTACTAGTGTGAGCAGGAATAAACATGTCAAAATATAATGACAACCAAAATGCACTTTTGTAAGGTAGAAAACTATCAACTCTGAATCTCTTTCGATGGCAGAGAATTTGATAGGTAATAGGTGTATTTAGATGAGACATTTTCAGAATACGTTTTGGCTTATAAAAGTCACACTAATTAAAGTGATTTGCGTGATATAATTACCAGGGTATAGAATTATGATTATATATTCTAAGACTGAGGGTGAGATCAACTTAGTTGTTTTATTTTAATTGCAGCATCAAGCCTCTGGTCATATAGGCACACTTTTCATGGCTTGTTGCTTGTGCAGTATAGCCACACAGAACTCAGAAAGTATCAGCAGAAACATGGCCTGTTAGTGTCCCAGCAGAGGCAAGGACAGGAGAACCAATAGAGCTCTTAAGGAAAATATTCTCAAACAAGATACCCAGCTAGCTCAGAGATGTAATCTTCATCCTCAAATCTCTGATTATGTCCCTGGGACATCAGAAATGAAATTTTTTTGGTGATCTATGATTACCTTAAGACACTCATCAATGGTCTAATACAGGCAGAAAAGATTAGGGAGTTTGTGGAATTTTGAATCTCAGCTTGACCACTTTCAAGGTGACCTTAAATAAATTACTTTCATTTCTTACTTGTTTTGTGGGCATAGGAATGTTCCTTTATTTATTCAAATAACTGCTGAGTGCCTACCACGTGCCTGGCATTGCTGCCAGGGTTAGGGACCAATGACTCCCTCTGCACCCAATGAGCTTTTCATTGCAGTGCACGAAGGCAGAAACACATAAATATATCAAATGTTAGGTGGCAGTAAATAATATGAAATGAAAAATAAAACAAGAGAGGCAAGTAGAGAATGATGAGAGGTGTCATTTTTATAGAACACATAGAGAAGGCCTGTCTGATTATGTCACATCTTAAGGGGAGAAGGGAGCCATATGGGTATGTGGAGATGAGTTTTCCACACAGTGGGAACCGGAAGTACAAGAGGAACATGCAGAGTGGGGAGAGTACAGCATGGGGCGGGTAGAGGGGGAATGATAGGAGTGAGGTCGGACACCTGTGGACAGGGGAAAGGGGGGCAGGACTCGATCCTGCAGGGCCTTTTAGCTACAGGATCCATTACAAAACTTTGAGCAAAGGGCTGACATGATCTAAATTGTCTTAAAAGAATCACTATTGCTGAATGGAAGATATATACTGTGGGGAGGGGGGCAATGGGGGAATTGGGGGTCAATTAGAAATCTGTTGCTATAATCCAGACAAAAAAAGATTGTGGCTAGAAAAATGGGATTAGGGGTGGAAGTGTTGAGAAGTGGTTAGGTGTGGGGTAAGTTTCAAAGGACAAGCCAACAAAATTGCTAATATACAGAGAGAAGAGAAGTAAATGGTGACCCCCAAGTTCTGGCCTTGAGTAGCAGGAAGAGCGGAGGTGCTATTAGTGAGAAAGGGAAGACAGTGGGAGAAGCCAGTTAGTCTAATCATGCTAAGCCTGTTGTGAGATGATAAATCAATGAAGTATATAGGACTGTGTAAATAAAACTAGTGCAGTCTTGGCCCACAATGGGCATTAGTGTATCATAGTCCCTTCTCTATCCTGTGGAGCACTTCCATGTGGCTTCTTCTCCTTCTCAGCACTACCCACACGCTCCCACTCTTTTTATTCATGACGTCTTCCCTTATTAATAATGTTTCCTCCACAATGAGAGGGTCACGTCAACCTCACCTGGAGACATCCCCAACAGACTAAAGAATCAACAGAGATAAATAAATTACATTTTTAAACAAAGAAAGAAAAATATTTGATAGCAAACAACATGCATGGCAATCGCCCTTGTACATTGAAGTACTTGAAGAACCTCAATACCCTAAAAGTTTCCTTGATATTTGTTGCTTTTTAATAGAAATTCTGTGAAGATTAAATATAACATTTTATAAGCATTTCTTTTCCTTAGAATTTCTGAAGAGAGGCTAGAAGCTGAGATAGTACCCAAAAATCTATAGAAATGCACACTACATATATATTTCTTGGCAAAATTTTCTAGTTGCTTTCATCTTTTTCCTAAAATTTTGAGACATACCATTAAAGAGAAATAAGTAATATAAATGTCTAGGCACTTGTGTTAGATAAATAGGTCTCAATAATATTTTATCCAAAGCCAATCTCCAAAATAACCAACATATAAATAGAAGCATAAAGTCTACATACTAAAAATATGCTTGGTTCTTTAAAATTCTTTATTGCAGATTTATTTGAAATGTCAGTGTTCAGCTCACATAACTCTATACTCTTAAGAATCATCAACATTTAATTTGAGTGTTTTTAGTTGAAAGGATTCTGCTGCTTAAAATTCCGTGAAATCCCCTTGGTCTGAGTTGAGGAATACTTACATCTTCTGTTTTCCTCAAAGCCTTCTTCTATGCCCAATTTCTCATAATTAACAGAATATTTAATCCAAAGCAGAATGCAGCTCTGACCACTTATCTACCCCAGCCCAGAGACAAATTTGTCCTATTGTTATTCCTCCTCGGTCCCCAGGGAGCATCGTGTGTCTGTGTGGCTTCATGCAGCATTCAAAGTGAGGTGTGATAGGGACAAACAAGGGCCTCTCTTTCTCGCTTGGCAAGTAAGGTCACTGGCAGGGACAACAACACCCTTGTAGAATTCTTATGTGTGTGATTCCTAGTTTTTAATTCTAAATTATGCTATGATGGTAACTTCTTCAGATTCCTCAAAGCACCCAATGGAAAGAAAATGTCTGGGCAAATATGCCAACATTTAGTATAAAATGTAGCAAGGCAGCTGGCACTGGCTATGGGAAGCCCAGAGTTGACTATATAGTGTTTCACTTATGTTTTTCCAAGTATAACTTTCCTAACTCATGACCAGGGGATCATTTATCATCGGGAAGAAGCTACTTCTTCATACTTTTCTTTAGGTTTAGTCTTGTCAGGCCCATGTTTAAAGCAAATAGCAAGGTTTACCCTATTTCATTATCATAGTAATTATTAGCTGTTTTAATTCTACTGACAAAAAGTTCATCTTCTTGTAGCTGGCTTACCCTTTGACATAGGTGGGAAAGAAAATTGGTTTTAACTGGTATATTTTTGAATTTCAGGGATAGTTGCTGTTCTCTTCTGTGGAGTCACACAGGCACATTATACCTACAACAATCTGTCGCTGGATTCCAAAATGAGGACTAAACAGGTAAAAAAATTTTGCTACTAGCTTTGTGTCTTTTTTCAGTGTAATGGTTATGTAGCAATTCTACCAGTGCACTCAGAAAGAATTTCATTAAGAAAGGAAGAAAGTAAGCTTAAGGCTTCATTAAAGTCTAGATATTTATAGATTTTTTTTCCCTCCAGGATAACCATTAACAATTCTCTTGGTAAGCAAAAATATAGTTATAATAATCTCTCTCTCCTGAGAAATGTGGACTGTAGACTGTCAGTCTTGAAGATGAAAGGCCCACAGCCAGTAATAATTCACAGTCACTTACATCTAAAAGCATTATAAAGCATGTGGGATTGTGTAGTTCTGTAGAGAAAAAGAAATGAGGAAGAATAAGGAAGCAATGTTTGGCCTTTAATTGGGTGCTTTTGCTTCCAAGTAAATTCAATTGCCAGTTGTCACACAAGAGAACACACCTCCCAAAGGCCAAAAACACTTCTGCTTGGATGTTTGCACAAGAACACTCCAGATCCCTTCCACAAACATCTGCTACATAGCCCCTCTGTGCCAAGCATTGTGCCAGGTTCTAGGAATAAAGGGACGGAGAGCGCGTGACCCTACCTTCAAGAGGTTCGTTATCAAGTCTGTTGATAAAGATGTGTAATAAACTATTATTGAAATATCTACATAGGGTCTTTGGGGTGCATTCAATAGGGCATCCTCTAGTCATTAAGATTGGGAAGGTGAGGAGAATGTTTCCAGAACTTATGCCCAATCTGGAGCTTGAAATACAAATAGAAGTTAATTAGGTAATTATGTGGAATCTAGTGGGGGACTGGAAGGTGGAGGAAGGGCACTTGAGGAAAAAATTACAGGATGGACAAAAGCTCTAAAGGACTTGAATCAGACACTTTAAATGGTTTTGTGTGGCTAGAGAATGGGGTAAGACTCAAGCTACCAGGATACAGTGATGAATGAAGCTGTATGCATAGCCTGAAACCAGCTGATAAAAAAAACTTCCAATGGAATATGACTCAGCAATAAAAAATGGAAATAAAATCTTGTTTGTGACAGCATGGATGGACCTTGAAGGTAATATGCTAAGTGAAATAAGTCACACAGAGAAAGACAAATAGTGCATGATTTCACTTATATTTGGAATTTTAAAAATATCAAACAGATGAACAAACAAAACAAAAACAGACAATAGAAACAAAAATCAAACTGATGGTTGCCAGGAGGGAGGTTGGTGGGGAGATGGGTGAAAAAGGTGAATGAGAATGTATAAATAACATTGTGATAATCTTGCATGGTTAGAGATGTCTACTAAACAGTGTGGTAATCACGATGTAAGGTATATAAATGTCAAATCACTATAATATATATCTGAAACTAATTTAATATTGTTTATCAACTATACTTTAATTTTAAAAAGAAAAAAAGAGATTTTCATATCTTGTAAAGGAGGTTAGACTTTATCCTAAAGGTAATGGGGAATGGCTTAAATAACAGAAACTCATCATCTCACAGTTTTGGAGCTGGAAGTCTAAGATCAAGGTGTCAGTAGAATTAGTTCCTTCTAAGGGCTGTGGAGGAGAATCTGTTCTAGTCATGTCTTCTAGCTTTTGGTGGTTTTCTAATAGTCTTCTGTGTCCTTTGGCCTACAGACACATCATCATGGTATCTGCCTTTATGCTCACATGGCATCTCCCTGTGAACATGTCTGTCTCCAGATGTCCCTTTTTATAAGGACACTTTTCACACTATATTAGTTGTCCACCCTATTCCGGTATGACTTCATTTTAATTCAACTAATTATGTTTTACATTTTCAAGGGCCCTGTTTTCAAGTAAGGTCACATTCTGAAGTACTGGTGGTTAGGACTTCAGCATAGGAATTTGGAGGGGACACCAGGCAGCACAATAACAGGAAGTCATTACAGTATCTTAGACAGACTGATTTTAGGATAGTTGGATTTCCATTTTAGAAATATCACTCTGGCAGACAAGAAGAGCATGAATCAAATGGCATTTTTATCAGTGAGCTTTTGCTATGCAACAAACAACCATACAACATCAGTGGTATGCAACACTAAACATTTGTTTTCACATGTCTGCAGGGTTCAATCCTTTTTAAATTTTTTTTTCTTTTTTTTAATTGATTCCAGAGGAGGGGGAGGGAGGGAAAAATATCAATGTGAGACAGAAACATTGATCTGGTAACTCTTGCACACACCCTAAGGACCAAAACCAAACCCCAGCTATGTAGCCTGAGCTGGAGTTGAACCCACAACCTTTTGATTTGCAGGACAATGCCCAACCAGCTGAGCCACCACAGCCTAGGCAGGTTCAACTCTTTTGAGTCGGATGGAACTGGACTCTACTTGTCTCACTGGGTTGGTCCGTGTGTCTGCGGGCTTCCGGGGCTCTATCCTATGATATACTTCACCGGAACAGCAGAGGCAGCACCATGTGTCTGTCATTCTTCTCTTGGTAGAAGAGCAAGCCACAAAGTGCAAGTCCTTTTCAAACCTCTTCTTGCATCCTATGTCCTAAACATCCTGTTGTCCAAATAAAATCACATGACTGAGCCCAAGGTCAAGAGGCTGAGAAGGCCACCAGCCCACAGTCAGAGAGCACTACAAAGATATATGGCAAGAAGCATGAATATAGGGCCAAATGAATGTAATCTATCCCAAAATGCAAATGAAGGTAGAAAGGATGCTATAGTAAGTCCAATGGCGCTGAAGATATCTGATGTGATATTGACATAGTAGAAGTGGAGAAAACCAAAATGACATCTAAGCAAAAGCAAAAAATGCCATTTGATTCATGCTCAGAATGTGACCTTACTTGAAAACAGGGCCATTGAAAATGTAAAACATAATTAGTTGAATTTTTCAAAAGCAATTGACCAGAACTTCTTAAACAGTAATTTTAAAAGATACTTAAAGCTTTCTTTGTCATATCCTAAGCTCAGCTGGACCTGACCCTACCTCCCACCTCCTCAGAAATTCTTCAAGCTCACCCTACCTCTCTGCCCGCCAGAGGAACTGCAGAGATGCAACTTCAGAAATTTCAAGTACCTCTGATTAAAAATAAAATAGAACAACAAAAAAACCTCTGATACTAATGCCTAAAACCCTACAATCCATAGTCTGCTAGGATCCTTTTAATTAGGAAGACTATTGAGATTCTCTAGGGTTTAAAGGGAAACAAATATCTTGGGCTGATTTTCCTGACCTTGTCTGTTTCTCTGAACACTTGCATTGTGGGAAGCTGAACTCTGTTTAGGGACTTGCAGTTTTAAGTCATGCTATCTAGACTTCTCAGCAGAACTTCAAAGGTAACTCATTTTATGGTGAGACAGCAGCCCAGCACCAAGGGAAGACAAAGCCACAATCAGTGCCCCACAGCCTTCTTCTCTTTTCTGAAAGGCTTGACAAGCGCTGCCCAGATGGACTGCCTGCATCCATTCTGATAGCACACTCATTCATGTAGGAGGTTTTTACAAGGCTATTTTTTAATGTCCAGGTAATTGCATCCCTCCATCTTTGTTACTCCCATCACCTTCTTACCTGGGTGCCTGGTCATAGGAGGAACCTAATGCATTTTAACTCCCTCCCCTTCTCATACTTTTTCTCACTTCTTTTGTTAAGGGTCTGTCATTTTCTATTTACTTTTTTTCTCAACATATGCATATGTTGCGTACATGTTAATCCACACATGCATATATATGCATACACACATGAGGTCACCACTTTGAGAGAATTCCATACAGCCTTTTAATTAACTTCACAGATCACAGGTCCTCGGCCACACCTGCAGCACTGTAGCAACAAGTTCCAATTGCATGTGGGAACCAATTACACATTGTAAAGAATGGCTGAGGCAGGTATTGTAGAAGTCGCCAACAGTTCCTCTCTGAAACGGGGAAAAGGTTTAGAAAGTTTTATATGATGGCACATAATTATTAAACACATATCTTCCTCTGCATCTCCCCACCTCATGCTCACCATCAAACGGAGAAGCAGCAGTTGTCCAGCTTCTGTGCGTCCGTCCCCAGGACTGGTTAACAGCAGTGAAGGGCATCAGTGAGTGAAGTCTAGGGAAAAATCCATTAAAATCAACTTTGCGTTATAAAATTCAAAGGCAATGTGATTTACAAAGGAATTTTATTCATGGACTGTGCCTATACCAGCTAATCAAATAGCTACATGTGAATACAAAGACTTTGAGAACTATATATCCTTTATAGCTTCAAAAAATAGAGTGTCTCTTTAAAATTGCATTTACACTTTAAAATGTTTTGAAATTGACAATGATTTTTATGTAGGTGAATTTATTTTACTCCAGCCTGTGAGAAAACATGTGTCATTACTACGTGTTAGGCACAAAACAATATAATGGGGATGCTAGTGCTGTATCCACCATAAGGATTGGCACTTCGATAACGGAGAGCATAGTGTTGAAGAGTATATGACCAGGTGTGGCAGTCCTTTTTGCTTGACGTGGGATGGTTCTCTTGCTTTAAGGTACACACACCTAAACTTAAAGACAGACAAATATTATAAGCCCTGACTCTTGCCCTCAAAACTAAGAACTGCAAGATATCCTCAAGGTGGACATCAGCCACAGCCGTCTGTGAGTCCAGAGGTCTCACCCTGAAGACTGCCTACAGATTCCATGACCTCACTCACACAAGTCTTTGCCTGCCTCCCAGTCCCTTCCTCCCTTGTGCTGTCACTCTGTAGCCGGGCCTTGGAGTTGCTATTCAGGGCCAAATTTCAGGGTGTTGCCAGGGTCTTTACCTCGCAAAACCATGTGCTTCTGTATCATAGCATTTTAACTAGAATTTCTCCTTCCTGCCCATGGTTCCAACCTAAAAATCACTTCCAACAAATAATCATAAACATATAATATTAACTTAAGTAATTAACATTTATTATGCATAACATTTATGAAGTACTTATCCCATTTACTTTCTGTTTACTTTTCTACCTTAGGGGTAGCTCTTTTTACTTTCATTCATTCAGC